ATAATTGTTGTATCAATGGAGTACATCCCCTATCTCCTCTCACTCAATACAATGTATATAAACACGTATCATATACATAAGCAATCAATACATAAGTTTGATGTATTATTCCAACCGTCATATTCGATGACATTATTCAATTGATTAGTTTTAATTTGCCTAATCATCATGCTTTGTCTACAGCAATCAAGACTATCCTCCACCGATAGCCCAAAGCAATTATTTCTAAACAGATAATAAATGCATCAATAGATAATTTATCAACATTTTCAAAAGTGAGCGATTAATAAATCCAACTTCACTATTCCATCTTATATTGAGCCAATTTCATTATTTTCAACTCAATTTCATGATTCCATGTTAAATGTCATTAATTACACTAATGACCCAAATATGTCCAAACATGGCATTTTTTCCCCTTTTTCTCAATATTGACTCCAATGGTCCAAATATTATCAACAACCTCAATATACTCATTTTGAAACCCAAATACACATTTATGGTTCAAAAGAAACAAAACCCCTTTTTCTAAAAATTACACATTTAAAATCCTAACTTCCAAAATCCAAAACCATTTATACAAAAGCTCAATATTCATGTCAAAGTTCATAAAGATGAGTAGGAATCCTTACCTCAAGAGATGAAACCAATAGAGATGATGGAGAAATCTCGAAATGCTCCAAACTAAGAAATTTTCGGATAGATAGGTGGCTCTCAACAAACTCTACATTTTTTGTAAAGGCTCAAGGGTAGAAGATCACTCTAACTAGATCAAACCCTAGAAAGAAGGTAGATTCTAGAGAGAGGAACTCTCAAAAGAGGTTTTTAGAAAGTAAGAGAGAGAGTATGAAAGTGAAAAAGTGATCTAAAAAGACCCAACTGATATCTGATATACGTATGACCCGCTCAAGCGGAGAATAGGACGCTCGAGCGTCAAGTACAAAAACTGGACCCGCTCGAGCATGCAGGATACCCACTCGAGCGCCAAGACACAACTGCAAAACACACCCGCTCGAGCGCAAAGGGAAAGCTGCTCGAGCGTAGATTTCCTCCTTCCAGTACTTTTACAGACAATGAACTACCCGCTCGAGCACCAAGATACCCGTTCGAGCGCGACCCGCTCGAGCGTAAAAAAATCCGCTCAAGCGTGAAAAACACACTTGCAGAAGTTTGCAAAGGCACGAAATGCTGAGAGTGTGTAAACCCCGCTCGAGCGCAAGAAGACCCGCTCGAGCAGACAACCAAAAATCAAACTCCGCTCGAGCGCAAAGGGACCCACTCGAGCGTATCATCAAAATTCTAGGCAACTAGGAATTGAACTAAAGCTCAACCAACCTATTTAAAACACGCCCAATACATCCTAAAACTCAAATACATGAAATTAAAGGATAACCACAAGATATACAACCACCAACTCCACAGAACCTAAGTCCGGAATACAACAATCAAAGGAAGGGAAACCGGGATCACTATATCTGTGATAGAGAGAGTAAAGCAAAGAAAATAGGGGAGACTGCCTTCACTTATCACCGTGGCAACCGCCTTCACTCATCACAATGCCATCGCTCATCGCCACCAACACCATTGTTAACTGATCTCATCTGTCCTTGCCACTGCCCATCACCGTCGAAATAGAAATGGAAAGAAAAATAAAAAGAAACAGAAATGAGGGAGAGGGTGAGAGATGATGAGTTCATCTATCAAAGAGAGAGAGAGAAAGAGGGTGAGGGAAATCAAAAGGATATATATATATATAGAGAGAGAGAGAGAGAGGGGGGGAGAGACAGATATGGAGATGAAAGGTTTGAGAAGTCGAAAGGATTGACGAGAGAGAGAGTCACAAAAGTAATAAATGAAGTTGTCAAATCTCTGTGAGAGAGAACAAAAAAAAGAATATATTTTTTTTGGGAAAATAGATATGGCCTTGGAAAATATATATGGAGTATTATATATCTCTCAGATTTATTTGAACAGTGGTGTTACATGCATCAATTAGTATACTAACTAGTATACTAGCACTAGTTATAACATTATTATTGACCACATTCATTAATCACATTACAAATTTTAAAAACTTCTTAAATTATGTTATATCATCAATTGATACATTAGTTAGTATATCAATTAGTACATATATCATTATTCTTATTTGAAATGATATATATCTCATCTCAAACTTGAAAAATGTGAAGAATTTATTGATAAGGGGATTAGGTGAGTTATCATATAACTCTGACTTGGAAATGACAAATTATCTTGGATCTTTAACTCATTTAGCTTATCAAGGTAACTTAAAAAAGCTTAACAACTAAAATAATATTTATTTATTATATACATTGAACGGATCGGGTTTGATCGATATTTTTTAATTAAATCCAACATCCGACCGTAAATTAACATTTTTTCATGAAATCTATCGACCGAATGGTCCTGCGAAATCATCCGTGACATGCACGGGTCATGCAGGTCCACGGGTGGTTTGGTTTTTTGCACACCCCTAGCCAGTCAAACTGGGTCGATTTGGATTGAAATTATAAATTTCAAGCCCAGCTCATTAATATATTGAACTAAGAATGCTGGCGCAACCCAATTTTATGGACTAAAATAACCTTCTAAAATCCTAAAAAAATATATAGATGGGTCGGCCGAATTGGGCAAACCGATGCCCACCCCTAATTGAGAGTAAACAAATCATTTTATCACGTTTTTTTCCTATCTTAAGGGTCATTTGGCAACTTCTAAAAAAAAATCAATTTTAACTCAAAAAGTTATTAGGTTGATTCACTATTATCTTAAAAAATTAAATATCACATTAATTTTTTGGGTGAAATACTAATAAATCTCAAAATGTGATTTTTTGAACTGTTTAATCCTTCCTTCTTTCATTCTTTTTTTTTTTTTTGAATCCAACGGTCCCATTAAAGTAAAAATTGCACAAAAATGTAATTACTTTCATGTTTGGGTTTAATTTTTTAAGGATAAAAATAGGTTTCTCTAAATGTAAAATTACACATTTAGGCAATTTTTCCTCCTAGAACAAATCCCACATTACGAAAAAAAAAAATATATAACACTCTAATAATGTGACAGCTAATGTAAAACACTAAAAAAACTCTTTGGTATATTTTTTCCAAACGTAACAACATAATACTCCGAAAAAACTCATTAGTATACTTTTTCCAAACTTAACACTCCAATGTAACACACAAAAAAAATTCCTTAGTGTATTTTTTTTCCAAACGTAACACTCCAATCAATGTAACACAAAAAAAAAAACTCCTCAGTGTACTTTTTCCAAACGTAACACTTTAATCATTGTAATCCCAAACGTAACACTCCAATATAACATACAAAAATACTAAAAAATTCCTTAATGTAATTTTTCTAAACGTAACACTTACAATTTGAAATTATATATTTGCTCAGAACTTATTAAGGAATTCTTGTACTCCTTTTGGAATGGTTTGAAAAATCTCATATCCTTTTAAAATGGTTTGAAGAATCTCATATCCTTTTTTTAGAGTGTTACGTTTGAAAAAAGTACACCAAGAAATTTTTTTGTGTGTTACATTGAAATGTTACACTAAGAAATTTTTTTGGAATGTACATTTAAAAAAAGTACATTAAGAATTTTATTTTTTTTTTAGTGTTACATTGGAGTGTTATGTTTGAGTGTTATATGGGAGTATTATAGTTTGAAATTATATATTTGCCCAAAGTTTACTAGGATATTTTTGTACTCCTTTTGAAATATTTAAAAAATCTCACATCCTTTTGAAATGTTTGAAGGATCCCATATTTCAAGTCATTTTTGTACTCCTTTTGAAATATTTTTCTAATAAAAAATATTTTCATATAAAAATTTATCCCAAATTTGATTCTCATAGATTGTGTACATTACCTTTCTATCACACCAAAAAAAAAAAAAAAAAAATAGTTGCACAAGATGTCAATAATTCAATGTTATCTAGTTAAACAAGATACAAAAAAAAAAAAAAAAAAAAAAAAAAAAAAAGAAAAAACATAATAAGGGTATAATTATAAATTTAATTTCTAAATAATATATTAAATCTGTCTTTCCAAAATCAATGGAAGTAATGAGTCTATAAGAAAATCATTGGAACTAAATGGATTATCATTCCTCGAAATGAGATTTATAGGTAAATTTTTCAAAAATTAATAAAATCATTAATTTCTCAGAATGTCAATTTATAAAATTAAATAGAATTTCAATTTTTTTATGGACAACATTTTCACATCCATGTCAATTCTCATTAAATAACGAAATTACACATGTCCTCTCTTTTATGTAAAATTACTAGTCTTACGTAACTTATGCAGTAATTTCTAATTCGGTCTAAAAGTGGCTCAATCATTAATTTATTTAGTTTGTTGCTTAAAACCCCTATTGTCAAAACCCTAAATTTTCAAACCTTTACTTAGACAAAGTCTCATTTTAATATTTAGTTTAAAACTCCTACAAAATCTTATATCGCTACTGCTTTAGTATAAGATGTTTCAAGCAAATTTGAATAACAAAGGTTATTTAAACTAAGAGTCGAGACAAAGAGGTAATCGAAGCGGAACCAGAGGCGAGGTATAGGTTTTGAGTCTCATCTCGCCCTCTTAGATTATATTATTTACTTGTATTGTAATAACATTCTCAAAAAAGAAATCTGGATTGTCTCCGATCCTTACAAGATTGGACTTGTCTACTCCAATCTTGTGGACTCATTATAGAGGTCGATCCAGTTTTTGTTTACGACTTCAAAGATCTAAAACAAATGCAAGAAAATAGTTGACAACAGGGGAAACATACTTGGGAACAAAATTCCATATAACATTCTCAAAAAAAAAAATCTGGATTGTCTCCGATCCTTACAATATTGGACTTGTCTACTCCAATCTTGTGGACTCATTATAGAGGTCGATCCAGTTTTTGTTTACGACTTCAAAGATCTAAAACAAATGCAAGAAAATAGTTGACAACAGGGGAAACATACTTGGGAACAAAATTCCATAGTTCTACTCAGAATGTTGCTTATCAAAGTTAATTAAGTACAGAAATACAATCCTATGAATCTTGAAAACATTTTTACACCTTACCATGCAATTTAACATCTCATATTACCCTTCCAACCAATCAAAAAACAACTTGACTCGACTCAAACAAAGCCTCAAGCCAAACTGATTGGGTGTCAACTGGTCAGAAAATTCATTACCAGGACTTGCAGCTTCAATCCCAAATTGGATATAAGAGACTTCACCCTGATTTTTCTTTTTTGCTGATGAAAATGGCTTGGGAAGAGCATGTTCGATATTCATTTGAGAGTCAAGTCATTCTTTGAATCAGTCATTTAAAAAGCTTCTTCAACCCGTCAAAGAGTCTAAGAGCTCTCAGTTCGCCACTCCTTATATCCCTTAACCTCCTCCTCAAAATCTGCTTCCATCCACAAAAGCACAGCAGAGCAGATTAACCAGTTTAAAAAGTGAGAGGGAAAAGTTATATTCAAGTGCTTCAAAATCATAGTGTTCCAATGGGCAAGCAATTGCAATCAAGCATATGATTACATTGCAGAGAGGTACAACTGTTTTGCAGTGCGTCACTGGAGCTAGCTATGTCATGCAGTGTAAATGTTCATCAATCACAATGAATCTATTGATGAGACTTATCAAATTGACAATGAGGCTGTGTTTGAATTTTGAATTTGTAGAGGGATTTCTAGAAAGAAACGAAAAGGGAAGGGAAGCTAAATTTTTTCACTTTTCCCTTCACATTTCTTTTACAACCACAAATCTATGATTCAAACATACCATGAGTGTCCTAGATCCATGACTTGAGCTCAGCTAGATTGCCTGATTACCAGCACAGCATGTTAAACTACAGTGTGGACAAGTTCAGCAGAGTACTACCGGAAAATTACTGATGAATGCCATTTCTTGAACGAAATTCAGAGAGTGATCTCCGTATCATGAAGCATGATAAACAGACAAAATTAGAGAAGCATTAACAACAACAACAATGCCTAACTTGATTTATATCCATAGATTGTGAGGTGTACTTCTAGAATCCACAAGCGGGGAATGAAATGAAGGGTCTTGAGTTAGTGGGATCATGATACATTAGATTAAACGAGCTCAAGAAACCAAGGAAGAATTATGAATACACAAAAACCAAATAGATGGATCCTTACATATTGGGAGCGAAATAATATCCTCCTTTCACTTGTACACAAGTCTACTGCTAACTGTTTCAGAAACAACTTCCGGTTCAGCTGCTTGGGAGATGTCATATCCAAATCCATTGATCCACTTTCCTGGTGAACATAAAGAAAAATTAAAAACTTAAATATTCATCTCATTAAGCACACATATTTAGAAAGTACTGTATCATAGTTTGTTGACAACAACGTTTTCGTTGTAATTGGTTTACAGAAGAGACTGAGTTGAACAAATACCTAATTGAAAAACTTCCATTACCTGAAGAAATCTGGTGTACTTCGATAAGCTTGATTCACAAGTATCTAAAATAAATTGTAGTGCTTCTTCCTCTATTTCATGATATTTGATATCTTTCTTGGATGTTGTCTTGTTTGATGCCGCAGCAGCCATCTGGAATAAAGTTAAGTGAGACTCCTGATGAGAAAATAAATAGCCTATTTATAATTTAAAAACTAACTGTCAAACCTCGTCAAACTGTCTGCTCATACTTGGAGGACTGACTGCTAAGTAAGCATATGCCATCAGCTCCAATGGCCAACCAGTGATTTGTAGAGGAAAACACTGTGACCTGTCAATATTAGCTAATAAAATCGCAATCCAGATTTAGGGGAGAGAGAAAGAAGAGTTTAATATATCCATGTCTAGTTTTGGTGATATTGGAAGACTGGATGACAAGATTAATTAAATGAAATTAAAACAAAATTGGACAACTGCAATAATTTCTCGAGTCCATGACCAGTGATTCAGATGGCTCTATGTGTATAACAGTTACTCACGCTGACAATCCGTGCTTCCTCAGTGCTTCCATCTTCTCTTTATAACATTTGTCAGATTTATTTAGAGACAACAACAACTCCACTGAATCTCTAGGGTTGGTGCCCTCCCTGGGAACAAATCCATATGATAGCAATAGCTCCCCATTAGATTTTTTGCCATATGATATGAAAACCTGCATAACATCATGCAACAAATAAAAGAGTTACAAATTCACACAAGAGCTTCTGCCATGCTTTCACTAAAATGTGACTGATCTTTCTGCTGCAAAATAGTCACAATTAAAACTTATAACTTTATTCCCTTTTTATTGTCCTCTTTCTGGCCTGTTTATAAACGCTATACAATGAAAGGACAAAGAACATAAATTCAGCCTGATTGAGTTCCAGTTGACAGACTTCAATAGAGAATTTGAACTTTATCAGAGAAGTTTCCAGCAGGTTTTAGAAAGTCTAAAAAGCTAGCATTTTATATTTTTCGAAAAAATTACAAATACTGTGGACCAAACATTTTTAAGAAAAGAAAAAGGGAAAAGTGAGAATTCCAATTTGAGAAGAAACTATTAACACAATCATACTAGTGTCCATTGTTCCACTCTTGTAAAATATAAGCAATCACTTTGTCAGTGGTAAAGTGCTCAAGTTTTGTTTACCTGCTCACCTGGCTGATATGGCCGATCAGTTGTAAAGACAACTCCCTGTGACGATTTATCATAATCCAAAAAAGTTTCCACCTTGACCAATCAAATATAACTGTCCCTCATTAGAGTTTAAACAACATATCTTTATCTAAATGATAATCATTTTAATCGCTATCGCCTTATACATACCTCACAACTATGATTTAGCATATCTGCCCAGGGAACCAAGGCCACCCTTCCTTCCATCGAGGGCAATCGAACCTGCAGCAAATGGATGAAGAAAGCCTATTTTATACACTTTAATGAATCAAGATTTAATTCTAAGGCACACATTAATGTGTACTAATTGGGCGTCGTTTTTATTCAAGAAACCAATAGATGGCCCTTTAAATAATATTAGTTTAGCAACAACTTCCTTTTCGGAGACAAATTTGTTTATTCCGATCTTAGTATGTTACAGGTATATGCATTATTTCAGTCATATTCCTATGACATCCAAAACCTCATAATAGTCTAACTTTAGTTCAAAGACAATGAGACAACAAATTTATCAAGCACATTGCTAAAAAAACTCACCAAGCGTGAGAAAAGAATGCCAAATGACCATTTAAATGTCTCCATATTGAATACCTGTAATAATATATAGCCCAGGTTAAAGAAATGCAAAGCCAATAATCTAGCAGCAAACATAGATTCAGCAATGATGTAAACCCAACTATAGCTTGCAGAATAGAATACTCATATCATCCATGTCAAGTACTCAGTGAAGACGAAAATTTTCCAAATCCTAACTATTCAAATTAACAGGAATAGGTGTAGAAACATGAGCAAAATCAATGAATCCAGATTAAATACAAGAACATGTATCTGCATAATTACCATTTTGCAGGTCAACATGAGAACAGCCATTGATTTTTATTGACAGTCAACAAGATACACTGAAATTATCAAGGAAAGAAATCCATTGAACCAACAGCTACCATTAGTTGAATTTTTCAGTGTTACACTCATACTGTGAACCTACTACGTGACTGACTTTTCTTTCATACCAGTGCTACATAGTAGCCAATGAACTGTTAGATGAGTGCTACTCTTCCTCCGATAGCATATTTAATTCATGGCATGTAAATATTAGGACAGATTCCCTGTCTATCATGTTCTGATATATAGTATTTCCTATCATTGACCACAATGTAGAACCCTTGGGACACAACCATATTAGTCCACCCTATTTTCACTTCAAGAGTGGGTGGAAGAACTGCATGTTGTATCTTTGTCACAGATTCACTTACCTTAAGTGTTTGATGTAATTAAGGAACATGAGGCCTTGCCCTGGAACAACAGCTCCATATATGGTTGGAAAGATTTAAAGCACATGCAGAGGAATGATGACAGACCAGAATATCATCAATGTCATTCTTGTTACATGATTCAGATTACATTGTCCTATATTCCTTTAACAATAGAACAATTGCACAGCATGAAATAGGTACCTCTTCAGGAAATAAATCAGGATACTTGGTAAATATCCTAAGTCTTAAATCATTGTATCTGCACAAGAGATTGAAAGGATAGTTCAACAATCAGAACATACATGATCATATACGCACTAAAATTAAGCTTTCCACTGAGCATCTAAACAAGTACAGAAATAGAAACAAAATCCTAGCTTTTAAATGAATTGAACAAACAGTAGACCATCAACAACAACAACAACAACAAAAAAAAGAGACAATATGAGGCCATACGTTCCAGTGACATTATTGACCCTCTCAACAGCCCGCTCTCTTATTTGTGATGCTTCCAGATATCTATCTAGTTCTGCGCGTGTCCTGAAATGACATAGAGAGGCTGTAGGGGAAAAAACTGAGAGTAGATGTTTTACTTTGTTGGAGAAGAAAAACTCTTTTGGAATACTGGCATGTCAATTATAACATGAGACGAAAGCTCACCAATACAATAGTGAATAGGGCTGTTGAGGCAAGGCTGAGATATAATTGCTCCATCTTGAAGATTTCATGAGACTTGCTTCACTAATAAGATAGGTCGCAAGCAATGGCCAATCTGGTACACTACTCTGTTTTAGCACATCACCAGCCTCCGGGCAGCTCCACTCCTGACATTCAAAGAGTCCAACACATGACAGGATGAGTACCCCACATTGTCAGTTAAAAATTATGATAGTTAATTCAAGCAACATTGCTCACAGGACAGAACATAGTGTAAGATTTCTAAACAACCTGTATATTAGATTGAATTAATTTGAACAAAGAATACATACATCATTTATATAGAGTACCACTAATCCTAACCCTACATGAATACATTACTGAGATATATAGAAGTCTAATAAACATAGGACACTGATTCCTAATCTGAGGAGAACACATATTCTCACACATAGGACAGAAAAATGGCAATTAATTTCAGGTTTCAGAAATGCATTCTTCGTTTATTTTTTTTATTTTAATTTTTGGGTTAAAAGTTTCAATTCAAACGCACCCTATAATTTAAGAAGGTGCCCTTCATCTATATTTGTGGAAACTATGCCTTGACGGATGAATGGAGTCTGCAAAAGTTCTCTTTTACGCCTCAACCTAATAAAAACGGACTCTGTGTGGGTAACTTGCAATTGCATTTATTCAAGAATTGAAAAATCACATTGGTTGGACTACATCATAATAATACCCACCTGCATTGCAAGCATTATAGGAAACTTGGAAAATGAATAACAAAAAATAAAGGAAAACACTATACAAACTTTTTTTTTTACTAACACGTGACACGCAGGGATGAAACTTTAGAATTTGAAGCAAGACCCACTTGACTAAAAACGGTTTGTAAAATTTGTTAGTTTGTAGAGTATTACTCAAAAATAAATTACAACACAATTCAAGACACGTCCCAAGTTGGAAGCCCTAAAATCTAGGTTCAAAATCTATTCTATTATACAAAGCACACAACTCGCAACATGTTTTGAAGCTATGTCATGCAGTTTCTCATACCCAAACCCAAATTATCCCTATTGAAAACTCCATGATTTTTAGGGGTAAATTACACTTTCCACCCTTACAGTTTGACCTAAATTTCACTTTAGTCCTTATTATTGTTTCAATTTGAACAATTTGGTCCCTACAGTTTAATCTAGTTCCAATTTAGTCCTTGCATCCAAATTTTTGTTAATCTTCTGCATGAAGTGTTCCAAAATTGTTAATTTTAAACTCCAACTTGAATATAATTGTTAATTTTTGAAACTAGACTTTACAAATACAAAGCAATTCACTGTTCTCCATTTCAAATCAACTCAATAGCATGACAATTAACACTCCATGTAATACAAGCACAAACAAAAATGGAGAGTAAAAATCCGAATCATACCGAATCGGCGGTGATGAATAGCGAGGGAGGTACGAAGAGCAACTTCTCTCCCTTCCTAATATTCTTCAAGGCAACAAGCCCTCTCTCTCCTACTTCTACTCTCTCTATCGCCATTTTCTGCGGCGGAAGACCCGACTCCGACAGCCATTTCTGCAACGCCGCCGCGTTCTCCAGAGAATCCACGTCGCATCCCCACGAAATCGCGATTCTTGTGGCGTCGCCGGTGGTGGAGATTGAGCAGTGAATTGTGCTCCGCCGTGGCTGAAATTGAGAGCGAGGAGAGTTGAGGGTTAAGTGAGGTAGGGTTGAGAAAGTGGGGATGAGTGTGGAGTGGAAGATTCTGGAAACTTCGGCCATGGATGGGAGTGAGAGAGAGAGAGAGCACTCGAGAATCGAACCTTATCTGCTGAAGCTGAAGAGCGAGATGAGAGGTTACAAAGTCGTTTTAACGGTTGTTAAAAGAGTGCTTTTTCATTTTCATTTTTATTTTATTTTATTTTTTAATTTTTTGGTAAAATATAGTATAAATTATTCATAGTATGAGTTAAATAAATATAGAGTTCTAAAAATAAGAAAAAAGCGTACAAATCATAAAGGGCGAGTTATAAAAAAATCATGTTTCACTTTGTAACAAAATAAATTTTAAATTTTATAAATTTAAATTTTATTTTTTTCATTTAAATTATCATTTTTATTTTTATTAAATAAAATTGACAAAAAAAATTATATTTTAACTATTAAATTTAATATAAGTATATATAAAATATTGAATATATTATTTTTTTATTAAATTTAATGACTGAAATATATTTTCTATTTTTATTATAAAAAGTGAATAATATAAAGCACAAACAGTAATAACTACTATAAAATAGTCCCAAAAACAGCCCACAACAAATAAACCGAAATTGATTTTCATCCATCCGTAAATGTACGTTCAATCTGTATCTATATCTATACTTCTATCTATCTATTTATACTATATATATAAGCAAATGTAGTAGAGTATGAGAATTTTTCAAATTCTTAATGCTAAACTCTTACGGATTCTCTCTCCTATGTGTCACCTCTCAAGTCTCCCCTCTTACTTTTCTTAATTTTTAATCATTTGTCAATTATCTAAATCTCAAAAGCCAAAAGAATTATATATATTTAAATAAAATGATTAACTATTTAGATTTGAACAACAAATATTTAGATATGAACAACAAAGAGGTAGAGATAAAAATATAAAAAAATAAATAAAAAGATAACTATTCAAATTTCAACCACAAAATAATATAAAGAGTCAAATAAAAGATTAAAAAATAACTAAATAAAAAATATTACGAGTAATTTAATTTTAAAAATATTACGAGTCATTTAATTTTAAAAATAAAAAGTTAACTATTTATATATGAACAATTAAAAAATATTTAAATAAAAAATATTACGAATCAAATAATTTTTAAAATAAAAAGATAATTATTTATATATGAACAACAAAAAAATAGAGATAAAAATATATACAAAAAAAATATATAACTATTTAGATTTGAACTGAAAAATAAATATTCAAATAAAAGATTAAAAAAAATTTGTCAATTATCTAAATCTTAAAAGCCAAAAGGATTATATATATTTAAATAAAATGATAACTATTTAGATCATGAATAACAAGGAGGTGGAGATAAAAATATAAATAAATAAATAAAAAGATAACTATTTAAATTTCAACCACAAAATAATATAGAGAGTCCAATAAAAGATTAAAAATAACTAAATAAAAAATATTACAAGTCATTTAATTTTAAAAATAAAAGTTAACTAAATATTATGAGTCATTTAATTTTAAGAATAAAAAGTTAACTACTTATATATGAACAATTAAAATATTTAAATAAAAAATATTACGAGTCAAATAATTTTTAAAATAAAAAGATAATTATTTATATATGAACAACAAAAAAATAGAGATAAAAATATATACAAAAAAAATATATAACTATTTAGATTTGAACTGAAAAATAAATATTCAAATAAAAGATTAAAAAAAAAACATTTAGATTGAGATATAAATCCTAGAAAAATAAAAATTCAAATAAAACATAAATAAAAATTTAAATAAAAAATATTTAGATTGAGATATAAATACCAGAAGATGATAAATTTTTTAACCATCTATATTTACCTTCTATGAGTTTGTTTTAAAACTCTCATATATTTTAGCTTACTCTTTTTTTAAATTTTATTTTCAAGTTGAACTTATTCTTTTGCCTTTTAAAATCATCAATTAATTATCTATTTAAAGTTTAAATTTAATACAATTCCATATTTTGAATTGATAAAAATTCAAATAAAAGATTAATATTCAAAAAAAAAAAAGAGAGATTACGAGTCAGATAATTTTAAAAATAAAAAGATAACTATTTAGGGCAGACGTGAGATTGAAAATGAAGAACACATTAAAATTTATTGGATATGGGTTTATATTTTAAATGTATTTAATAGTTCATTTTTTATTGTTGATTATCCTGTTAAAATAACTCATGATTAAATTTATTTTCAGAAATTCATTTCCTTTGGGAACTAAACCAAAAATTTATTCTTTTTTAATTTTTTATTATTATTCAGATTGAGAGTTTGAATAAATGGAAGAGATCTCATATTAAAAATGGTAATTTTTTTTGAATAATTTAAATATTTATATTCTTTATGTTTGTCAATTCAACTTTAATACATTTCCAAATCTTTTTTTTTTTAATTTTTTTTATAATCATTCCAAAACCTATTTATGTTTAATGAATCAATATAACTAAAAAAACAAATAACATGGGAAAAAAAAATTTAACCACTAATTGAATATAATGGGAATTAAAATTAATTTTATTTTAATTCATTATACTATGAAGGATGATTAATGTAATATCTACTACTGATTAAACAAGATTAGTGTTACTTTTATTTAATATTAGTCATTTTGTTTAATTATAATATGCCTTTGTTACTCTACTTTTGGTTGTCTGAAATAATTCTTAGATAAAATAGCTATTATTTATGTATGATAGTTTTTTAAAGAATTTCAATAATGTGAAATATTAAATATTTTTAATGATGTGAAGTAAGGTTTATGTATACAAACTAAATAAAAAATATTTAATTAAAAAAATATTACGAGTCAAATAATTTTTAAAATAAAAAGATAATTATTTATATATGAACAAAAAAAATAGAGACAAAAAATATATACAAAAAAAAATATAACTATTTAGATTTGAGCTGAAAAATAAAAATTCAAATAAAAGATAAAAAAAATTTAGATTGAGATATAGATCCTAGAAAAATAAAAATTCAAATAAAAAATAAAAAAAAATTAAACAAAAATATTTAAATTGAGATATAAATGCCAAAAAGATGATAAATTTTTTAACGATTTATATTTACCTTCTATGAGTTTGTTGTAAAATTTCCATATATTTCAAGTTAATCTTTTTTAAATTTTATCTTCAAATTGAACTTATTATTTTACCTTTTAAAATAATCAATTAATTATCCATTTAAAGTTTAAATTTAATACAATTCCATAATTTGAATTGATAAAAATTCAAATAAAAGATTAATATTCAAATAAAAAAGATTACGAGTTAGATAATTTTTTAAATAAAAAGATAACTATTTATATAAGAATAACAAAAAAATAGAGATGAAAAAATATGCAAAAATAAAAGTATAACTATTTAGATTTGAACTACAAAATGAAAATTTAAATAAAAGATAACAAAATATTTAAAATAAAAAGATTAAGATTGGGAGATAAATATCCCAAAAAGATGATAATTTTTTTTAACGTTCTATATTTATCTTTTGTTAGTTTGTTATAGAATTCTCATATATTTAAGTTTAATTTTTTTAAAGTTTATCTTCAAGGTGAACTTAATATTTTATCTTTTAAAATCTTCAACTAATTATTCATATAAATTTTAAATATGATAGCATTCTATAAATATCTTTTGTCTAAGCATAATCTTTTCAATATAAAAACAAGTTCCTGCAAAAGTAACCATGAACAGAAGATTGGGGGAGGAAAAAAATCAACATTGAGTCATTTCTGATCCCTTTTCATTGCCAAAAAGTCTTAAATATTTGATTTATATTTGAAATATGTACTTGCATGAGTCTTTACATTTGTGAGAAAGTGAGTTTATGTAAATGGATATTATTATTTTATTTTTAATTTTTTTTTGTTACAATCTGTTTTTTTTCTTATTTCTTTCTTTTTGCTAATAATGTGTCATTTAATTGAGATTTTATTCTTTTTTTTAAAGCACTACTATTATCAATTTTTAAATCTCTTATTTATTGACTAGTGTGTTTAATTTTTTATTTTTTTTGTGTAGATGTTAGATTGAAAATGAATACATCAAAATTTATTGGATATGGATTTATATTTTAAATGTATTCATCAGTTGATTTTTTATTGTTGATTATCCTGTTAAAATAACTCATGATTAAATTTATTTTTAGAAATTCATTTCCTTTGAGAACTAAACCAAAAATTTCTTCTTTTTTTAATTTTTTTTTTATTATTGAGATTCAGAGTTTGAATAAATGGAAAAGATCTCATATTAAAAATGATAATTTTTTCGAATAATTTAAATATTTATATTCTTTATGTTTGTCAATTTAACTTTAATGCATTTCCAAATCTTATTTTATTTTATTTATTTATTTTTATAATCATTTCAAACCTATTCATGTTTAATGAATCAATATAACCAAAAAAAACAAATAACATGTGAAAAAAATTTAACCACTAACTGAATATAATGGGAATTAAAATTAATTTTATTTTAATTCATTATACTATGTGGGATGATTAATGTAATATCTACTATTGATTAAACAAAATTAGTGTTACCTTTATTTAATATTAATCATTTTGTTAAATTATATTATGCCTTTGTTATTCTACTTTTGGTTGTCTGAAGTAATTCTTAGATAAATTAGCTATTATTTATGTGATAATTTACTTAATGCATGATAGTTTTTTTTAAAAAAATCAATAATGTGAAATATTAAATATTTTTAATGATGTGAAGTAAGATTTATAGACACACACTAAATAAAAATATTAAAAATATATAATCAAATAGTAAATTTTATATGATGATTATTGATTTTATAAAATTCCGTACATAGCACGGGTGATCACTAGTTTGCTAAATAAGCAAATGGATGGAAATTATTATTTTTTTAATCCACCTAAACTCAAATGAATAGCAAATGAAAGACTATCTAATCTAATTCGGTGGTGCTATTTGATATTGGTTTGATGTTATGATTGGAGCACTAAAGTTGGACTTTTTTTATCAAATTTAAATTTGATAAAAGAAAAGAGTAAAGATTAGAATTTTCATTATATATTTAATGATTATAAAATAAGAATATAAATTTATAATTAATTTAAATCAAAAAAATTAGTACACTCTCGTTGAATAATAAAATGAAACCTATTCATTATAAATATGGAAGGAAGAGATTAACAATTTGAAAATATTTCAGTTGGTTTTGAAGCATTAAGTGGAGTTTTTGCAGATTGGATGCATTAGATAGGATACTCTCCGATCAGATTAGATTAAATAAAGTTATATGTATTAATTAGTACATTAATCGATAATGTGATATAATTTAAATTTTTTTTGATATTTATAATTTGTATAATAATTAAGATTAATAATAATATCATAATTAGTATTAGTACATTAGTTAATACCCTGTCTTAAACTTTTCATCAAATTGAATATGCTTGAAGTGTTTCATCAAATTTGTAGGTAATGGTTGACAGGGATGGAACTAGGAGAAAACTATGGGGGTCATGACCCCCTATTTCTGTAAAAAATTTTGTTTGTCATTGCATTTTTAAAAATATATATCTTATTTCATAAATAAATGGTCTCTAGTATAAAACACATATATCACATTATTCTCCAATCTCACATTCTCTTTTTATTTTCTATTAAAAAAATTTCTTTGTCCTATTAAAAATTGTTTCTATGATATTTAAATTTTTTTATATGTATATATATAATTTACATATTGTATTGTACATACATGTGTTTATATATATAGTGAAAAAATATTATTCATTTTTTGACCCTTCCAGTAATGAATTTCTGATTCCGTCCTTAACCGTTGGATTTTAAGACAATCTCCTTGCAAAATTGCCTTGTAGGTTATGGCCAATTTACACTAAATTAGTTGACTGGCCATACATTCGCATGGTCATCCTTATAGTTGACCGATATTTTGATAAAAATTCAAAATTTTGTATTAAAATACACAATATAAAATGAAATTTTTACTCAAATTTCAAAAAATAAATAAAAATAAAAAACATTAGAAATGCTCTAAGTTGCATAGTAAAAGGGAGAGGATCAAAGTCTACACAAAACACTACCCATTTGGAATCAAAAGGTCCCACAATCCGACGTCGTACCGCTCATTAGAACAGAACCCCTACAAATACTGAACAACAGGAGATGAAGATATGCATTTTGCTCCATAGAAGAACATGACAACCACAGCAAGCCTCATCTCCTGCAACTGCTCTTTCTTCCCACTCAAAAACACCCCCAAATTCAGAATCTCACCTCAAAACCCTAATTCCAAAACCCCATTTCTCAGAACATCAAGTTCATTTCACGGACCCACAATCTCTCACTCCCACAGAAAAAAGGGTCTGCTGCAAATATGCCTGAGTTCAATGAACACTCAGAATTCACAAAACCCACAAAACCCCGATTTGGAGAGAGAAGATTCTTTGGCAAGTGAGCTCGGTGGCCATGGAGGAAGAACAAGTAGTAGTCCTGGTGGGGATGGTGGGGACTGGACGACGTCGTTTCTGCTTTTCTTGCTGTGGGGTGGACTCATGTACTATATCTTCAACCTCACACCTAATCAGACTCCGGTACTGTTATGTTACAATGCAATTCAGTCATTTAATTGCTATTGCTGTATGTTTGTTTATTGGGTTGTAGATTACACTCTCCTCCAACCCTCCACCAGTTTTTTTTCATCAAATTTGAGTTAAAAAAAAGTAAATTTAAGTTGAAGCACTCCAATCCTTTTATCAAATTTTCATCAAAATCTTTTGGTAAATTATGTAAATGGTCCTGTAATTTACCTGTTTTATCATTTTGGTCCTGTTGGTTCAATTTGATCAATTTTGTCCCGAATTTTACGGATTGTGTCAATTTGGTCCATGTAGTTTATAGACACATCATTTGATTTTCCGTCCATCTGACTTAATCGCCGTTATTTATTGGACTAATATGACACAATCATAAAATTCAGAGACAAAATTGATCAAATTGAAACAACAGGGACCAAAATGATAAAACAGGTAAACTACAGGGCTACTGCTGTAATTTGCCCAAATATTTTAAAAATTCTCCTCTTATTCCAAATTTCCCTTTTCATCAAATTTGATGGGAAAAGAATATATCATTTTTTAGAGCATCTCCATTGCTTTATCAAATTTGAGTAAAAATTTAATATAATATGATGCATTTCAATAGTTTCATCAAATCTGGCTGGTCGTCCACCAATAGTCATCTGCAAAATTTGATTAAAGGTTAAGCACTCCTGATTTGATGAAATTTTTGGTTTTCCTCTCATTTGATATGAGTTTGATGCCACAGTTTGAGTCCAAAAAGTAGCGGGTGTGTTTGGTTTGTATTTGTAGAGTAGTTTTTGAGATAAAAAGTATGTAAGTTTGTTTAGTTTGTCTTTTTTCAGAAATGGTTTTGGAAAATTATTTTGGGAATAGAGTTTTAAAAAAAGTGATTGATTTGATGTGTATGAGAGAGAGAGTGATTTTGAAAAGTAGGTAACCAAACAAAATTTTGAAATTTTTTTTGAAAAAATTTGTTTGATTTAATTACTCTTGAAAATTTGTTTGTAGAGAATTTTTTCCAAAATTTTTTCTGAAAAACAAACCAAACAAGGCCAGCGTGTTTCATCAAATTTAAATTTGATGACAAATCTGATACCAGGGTTGGAGATGGTCCTACAATGCTTCATCTTTTAAAATTTTCATCAAATTCAAATTTGACCAAGGATTTGATGATGAGTCTCAATTTTCAAGAAAAAAAAATGACTGTCCCTTAATTTTATGAACATTTGATGAAAGAATTGGAGATGATTTGATGAGAGAAAAGGTGAAGGATTGAAGAAGCTCTAAAATATATCATTTGGTCCTTAATCTTTAATTGGATGGGATAATTTGGTGAGAAATGATAAGAATATGATGAGAACCCAAACTTGAACTCTTTTTTCATGTTTTGTTTGTAAGTTGAGTGAGAAATTGTGACAAAAGATGAAAAATGGTGAGAAAAAAGAACTCTCGTACCTATTTTATTTCTCACCAAAAGTGGTGAGATTTGGTGAAAAACAAGTTGATTGATTATAAAATTTTTATAATATCAACATTGTCCCTTAAAATACAAAGAAAGAAAAAGAAATCTCACTCATATCCGTCTCTCACATGCTTTGCTTTCTTACTCATCCAAACATGATGGTGAGAAAACACAATCATTAATTTTCTTCTCTCACCCTATGATCCAAACTGAGTGTAAAGTTCACACATTAATTTAATATAATCCCTTCTCCTAATTGTTGTCAAAGAACATAGGAAAAATGCTTATATCACCCATTAAAAGGCATTAAAGACATTTTAATGCATTTATTTATGTCAAACACATTATGTATTTAGCTCTCATAATTAAGTGAAAGACTTGAATGTGCTTTTTTTTTTTTATAAATTATGCGCCTGATGTGAAGACGTGTGCGTTTTTTGCATGTTTTTTAGCCGGCAATTAGGATAGAGAGGACTATACTGAATTAATGTTTGAAGTTCAGGTTCCAATCGATACAAACATTAATGACCAAATGAATAAGTCGTATACATGAGGGACTATTTTTGTAAGTTACCATTGTTTCTTTGTTTGCTTTGGAATGGGTTTGGTTCGTTTTCATTGTTTCGCAAATTGTCAGTTCTGTTCTGATTCTCATTGCTGTTTGTCATTCCACAAATTATCAGTTCTGTTCTGGTTGCTTTTTTTTTTATTTATCAAAAAGTGATTTTGGTGATGTATTATCAAGTATTTTCTTTTGACAGTGAATTTCATTTCCATTTGTTCCCACCAGATGAGTCCTAACAAAGTTCCAGTCCACCGGCTATGTAGTTAACTTTCTGTTTTAAAATTGTGTGGTCACTTGGTCTATGTGATCATCACATATGAACATTGATGGGTTGATTGGTGGTGTTTATTTCTCACATGAGAGAGACAGGTTGAGTCCTGATCAAACTCAACAGGTATGAAACGAAGAGACGCAACTCTTCACTTGGAGGGTTGTATCCTTTTTGAATGATTGTGTTTTGCAGCCATTTGTGCAATATAAATAGGCATGCTTATACAAGTTCTGGGTATCAATCATTGCCTCATCCACCAAGGCTGTCCAGTATCTCTAGGTCCATCAAATTGCTATTTGCGCACACTTTAATGTGTTCCCCTACATTTTTTAAAGTTAATAATGAGCTAAAATCCCTTATATGAAAAAAGAGAATAAACCAAGAAACACTTTCAGTGAGCCACTTGAAAATTATAGTCCTATGCATTTTGTTACTACCACCTTTTAGTACCATCCATTGCCACATTCGTGGTTTAATTTGTGACGCCTTGTTTAGAATCTGATGAGTTAGTTTTATTAAGTCATTTCTAAGTTAATTCCACTTTGGCTTTTGAACATTTTCAGTCAAGGGACATGTATTTCTTAGAAAAACTTCTGAATTTGAAGGGTGATGATGGCTTCCAGATGAATGAAGTACTTGTTTCTCTGTGGTACATCATGGGTTTGTGGCCTTTAGCATATAGTATGCTGCTGCTTCCAACTGGTAGAAGGTACATACCATCACTGCCTATATGTGTATGAAAATGATATACAAGCTCACTTTTTAGACCCATTTTATAGACCCAATGATATGTAAGTGATATGATTGATTGATAATTAGAGAAAATATGAGAGAGAGTGTTACCTTTAATATCTGATTGGCACATCACTGGGCTTGAAAATTGGATCTAATTGTTGGTCTTGAATAGCAATGCTCATATGTATATACATATATATATATATATATATATTCTTAAAATCATGCGCCCATATTTACTGCTTGAAGTTAGTTTATTCTGTTTGAGGATATAATTACATTGTTTGAGGATATAATTACATTGGATTTCTTTTGGTAAGTCTATATTTATTAATCACACTAGACTTCAGCAATCAATTTGGAATCATTTTGAGATAGCATGTAAGGATGCTTTCCACCACTAATTGGATTGCATTACTTTCTATGCGTGTCTAACACACTCAAGAGTAAAGATCTTAGGGTTGTAGGACTACAATTAGGCCTTTATTTTAATTTTTTTTTAAATATTTTGTTCTAGGGAGGATGGCAACTTATCATACTGACATTTCAAGTTTCCTTGTATATTAATGCCAAGGAGTTTAATTAATGTAATTTAACAAATCTTTAATTCTGCAGCTCAAAAAGCAAAATTCTTGTCTGGCCATTCCTCATACTTTCATGCTTTGGTGGTGCATATGCTCTTCTTCCCTATTTTGTTCTTTGGAGACCGCCACCTCCTCCTATTGAAGAAACTGAGTTTGGAAAATGGCCTCTTAATTTTCTGGAGTCAAAGTTAACTGCTGGGGTAAGATGGCCCTCTCTCTCTCTCTCTCTCTTTGTACTTGGATGGTGTTCCCTTGGCACTTTTTATTTCATATCTTGATTACTTGTAAAAAAAAGTAGTAGTTTTACTCTATGAATCATTCTTACACTAATAAACATTCAACAGGTAAGTTTGTTCGGTCTATGAATTAAAAATTTTATGGCCTTTGATTGGGTTGAATTGCCAAAAAATGATCAATGTACTTAAAAGCCTATTAATTCTCGGGGTACATCAACTATGAAATTCATGACTGCATTCAAGTTTCTTTCACATTACAGAGTTGGCAGAAAGAAAAAAAAAAAAAATCTATGAAACACACATAGAAAAAGTTTATGCTAAACCTTTACTCCAAATTTGTAATATGAAATCACATTCCATTTTTATTTCTTTAGCGATTGCATCCTCAAACCTCTTCCAAAACAAGCAGATCGCAATTTTAGTTTGTTACCTACCTTTCCCACAAGATCAGGGCCATTAGCTGACGATCACAAGAGAAGCTTTTACTTGAAATTACATTCCCTCTCACATATTTTCACTTGCACTTCCTTTTTTCTTTATGAAGAACATTAAGAAACAAATCATAAGAAGTTGTCTCCAAAAAATGGGGATCATTCTTGAAGTTGCTTAAGGACAATCCAATATGATGTTGTGTGTTTTCATGGTCATCTTGCTTTATGAAGAGTTGTCCTGATTTTGTCTAAGCTATAGGTATGTAGTTTTTTATCTGATCAGTAACATAATTTGCTTAGAAAAACAAAGTTTGCTAACTACACATCAGATATCACTTGCTGCAGGACTAGGTATTATCATTTATGCTGGTTTAGCTAATGGAGATGTCTGGAAGGAATTTTACCAGTACTTCCGGGAGAGCAAATTTGTAAGTGTTTCTATCATCTTTGGTCAGATACTTTCCATAACGCCTATTAATTATTATTTGAAACAACTTCATTCAAGTACACACCATATGGCCATGTCAATAGATAATGAGTGTGACATCTAATCAGGTTGTTCAGTGGTTGCATTGTGTGACCCCACCTTAATGAAGATTCTAGGTTTTGATGGCAACTTTTAGATCTTTGTTATCTTTTTCTGATATACGGTACAAGCAGAATCTTAATATTTGAAGGATCACTGCCAATGAAGTTCATGGCCGGCCAATCAAGGAAATGACAGCAAGCTTAGTTAGTCATGATGTCTGTTGGTATCATAAGATTGTGTGAACATGTTCCCTTTGATAGTTAGGCGATCTCACATTTTGCCAAACATGTAACACACTTACCCTGGGTACTAAGCCATTTTCCATGCTGCAGATCCATGTCACCTGCATCGATTTTACTCTGCTGTCAGCATTTGCTCCTTTCTGGGTTTATAATGACATGACTACTCGGAAATGGTAAGAGTTTTATTCACAAGCACATCCAAATACCTCTTAACAAAATTCAATCTTAAAATTTTCATGTAGAATTAGTGAAAATCACTATTTTAGTACTTTTGCTTTTTTCCAGGTATGACAAAGGCTCATGGCTTCTTGCCTTGTCGGTAATTCCATTCTTGGGTCCTTCTCTGTATCTTCTCCTGAGGCCGTCATTAGCATCAGTACCTGTTACATTGAGCCCAACCTCTTCAGAAGAGAACTAGAACATACATTCCATAATTTGGTCTTCCTTCCCGGATTTGGAAGCCACTGCATCCAAACAGGCAGGACGAAAATTGAACTGGGAAATTTCAAATGCCATCCAAACACATGTATATTCACATGAATATTAAATTCTACATGTTTAGAACCTCATTTCTTCTTCTTTTGGTGGATCTGTTTGGACAGAAGGATAGGCAACGGACCTAAATTCCATCTATTGGTTTAAACCTTTTTGTTGAGATAAATGAAGCCTGCTGTGAGAACTGTGAAAATTTAGGTGTCGTGTCTGTTAACGTTTTTGTTTTGTGTTTTCTATTTTTGTTTTGTTTTGTTTTTTGTTTTTTTGTTTTTTTTTTTAAGGGTAAATTACACTGACACCCCCTGAGGTTTATGTTTATTACAGTTTTTCTCTCATTTTTTGGAAATTACATCTCCCTCCTAAGGTTTAAAGTTTTATTACAGATTCTCTACTTAGCAATTTAATTTTTTTAAATACCAATTTTGCCTTCACTGGGTAAATTACATTGACACCTCTCACATTTTGAAAATTACAATCCCCTCCCTAAAGTTTAAAGTAACATTACCAATTGCTCTCTCGGTTAGTATATGTTGAAAAAAAAATTCATTGAAAAAAAAATTTAATTGGGAAAAAAATTATTTGAAAAAAAAAATAAATTGGAAAAAAAATTGTTAGTAAAATTTTTAAATTTTTGTTTAAAAATCAATATAAACTCATTTTTTGAATTTGCATTTTTTCCTTAAATTTACAAATTGAGACAATTATTTATAAATCAAAAAAATTATCAAACAAATTTTTATGACAGTTTTTTAAATTTTTGTAAATATAAATTGTAAATTGAAAACGAAATGGTTACCAAATAGATTTTAGATGATAAAAATGTCGTAAAATTAACAAATAATTAAATAAGTTACCAACGTAAGAAATGACTTATCAAAAGATTCGTAGGCTATGTATGGTTTGATTTTTAGAAATCTTTTTAAAAAATTAAAAATTAATCTGGTTAAGAAATAAAAAATAAAAAAAAAATTATCATTTTTATATAATTTTTATCTTTCGAGTGGTTAGAAATAATTTTTTACAAATTAAATTGAAACAGCCATACGTATGTATATAACCTGTTCAAAAGTTAAAATGAATATTATTTTTTACCCTTAAATGATAATTACCTTTTTTCTTAATTTCTTAAACAAATTAATTTTTAATTTTAAAAAAAATCTAAAAATCAAACCATACATAGTCTAAGAATCTTTTAATAGATCATTTCTTACGTTGGTAACTTATTTAATTATTTGTTAATTTTACAACATTTTTACCATCTGAGGCCTATTTAGTAACCATTTTTTTTTCAATTTTCAATTTATATTTACAAAAATTTAAAAAACTATTATAAAAACTTATTGATAATTTTTTTAGTTTATAAATGGTTGTCTTAGTTTGTAAATTTGAAAAAAAAAACGTAAATTCAAAAAATGAGTTTACATTGGTTTTTAAACAAAAATTTAAAAGTTTTACTAACAAAAAAAATTTTCAATTAATTTTTTTTTCAATGAATTTTTTTTCCAACTAATACTAACCGAATGGGCAATTGGTAATGCTATTTTAAACCTTGGGAAGGGGATTGTAATTTCTAAAATGTAAGGTGTATCAGTGTAATTTACCCAATGAGAGCAAAAATGGCATTTAAAAAAACTAAATTGCTGAGAGGGGAATCTGTAATGAAATTTTAAATCTCAAGGGGAGATGTAGTTTCCCAAAAGTGAGGGGAGAATTGTAATAAATATAAATTTCAGGAGGTGTCAGTGTAATTTACCCTTTTTTAAACTAAAAACGAAAACTTGTTTGTATATTTTTTTCATTTTCAAAAAAAAAGAAATTTATTTCAAAATTTAAATACAAAAAAATGTGTTTTTACTTGTTTTTAAAACAAGTTTTTACTTTCTCCTCTTGCTCACCACCTTTGGCCACCGATCCAGACCAACCTCCTCTTGGGGTTGGAGAGCTCTAGCCAACTTTGGCATCCTTCCGGCCACCTTGTAACCTTCGGCAACATCCAAACACTCACTTTGGTGGACACCTCAAGCCACCCACCACTACCAGTCACCACATCCATCTATCATCCATCATCGGCCACCAACTCCAATAACTCGTCAAATATATATTTTTATTTTTTTTTCACAATATTTTTATACACCAAGCAAGTTTTTATTTTTTTATTTATTTTTTTTTTTTACAAAAAACTAAAAACGTTCAAGAACAAGGTTTTACAGCATATTCAATGGTTTGCTATTGGAGCTACCAAAACTAAAATATAGCGGCAGTGTGCAAAAATTGGTGCTTCAATGGTTGAAAATGACAGCTGCCAAATTTGACAAATGCAAAATGTGCCAACTCAATTAAAAGCCAACTGTTTCCTTTATTTCCTTCCTCCCTCATCCTTCCAAGCAAAACAAGGCCAAATTAATTTTTTGGTCCAAATTCACTATAAAACAAAAAACAAAAAAAAAATTAAAACAAAAATTTGTTTAAAACATAAATTGTTTAATTTTTTTTAAACAGCAATTGTTTCACCATTCTGAATAGAAATTTCAACATAAATTAACAAATCAGTTAACAATCTGGCCAAATTAACAGAAGCAATCAACAAATTAAAAAACAAAACAGGCAATTTCAACAAATCTCAACCAATCATAGTATACATCTCACACAATACGAACAAAATTGAAGGAAATAAATACCTAGATTTCAAGTTGTTCATATTTCAAACAAAATCAACAATCATCTTCTTTGTTCTTGATCTCCATCTTCTCCATCAAAAAGTCGATTTGAAACAGTGATTTTAAGGGTTTGGGGTTAGGGTTTCAAAATCGAAAAGAGAACCATAGTCGACTGGTAGTTAGGATTTTGAGGGTTGGAGAAGGGGGTTAGGGCTTTAAGAGTTGGAGATCGGCGAACTGGTGGTGGCTGCGGTGGTGGTTCTGGTGATTCTAATGAAGAGAGAAAGAGAGAGAGAGAGAGAGAGAGAGTCAACTAATTTTGGAAAGAGATGGCTCGGTGAGTGTGAGTGAGAGATAATGGGTCGGTGATGAGGAATGAAGAGAGGGAGACGACTAGTTTGGAGAAGAGAGGGATGAAAATTGGTGTGTATGAAAGAGAGAAAGAGGATTGGTCTTGGGGAAGTGTGTTGAATTTTATCACTTGTTATTTGCACGATCTTGGGACCTAACAGTTTATTGTCTCTGACTTCCGTCCAACATAGAGGTGATCGACATCTCCTTCCATACAGTGCTTCATAAGGTGCCATTCTAATGCTTGCTTGGTAGCTGTTGTTATAGGCGAATTCCACCAAAGGTAGGTGCTTATCCCAGTTACCTTTAAGGTCTAATACGCATACACGTAACATGTCTTCCAAAGTCTGGATTGTTATTTCAAATTGCCCATCAATTTGTGGGTGACAAGCAGTACTAAACTCCAATGTGGTTCCTAGGGCCTCTTGCAATTTGTTCCAAAAGTGAGACACGAAGCGGAGGTCTCGGTTAGACACCATTGAAACTGGAGTGCGATGCAAACAAATAATTTCTTTGATGTATAAAGTGGCAAACTTGTTAAGGGAGTACATGATTTTGATTGGCAGAAAATGCGCCAACTTTGTCAATCAGTCTACTATAACCCATATTGCATCATTCTTCGAAACTATCTATGGCAGGCCGACCACGAAGTCCATAGTAATACGCTTCCATTCCATTCAGGAATAGGGAGTGGTTGTAGCATTCCTGCAAGTCTCTAATGTTCTGCTTTAATACGCTGACAATGCAGACATTTAGAGTTATAGCTTGCTATGTCTCTTTTCATTCATGTCCACCAGTAGTGTTCCTTTAGATCGGGATACATCTTCGTATTGCTAGGGTGGACTGCAAACCTCTAGATATGAGCTTCTACCAATATCTTCTTTTTAAGTTCCGGAATGTCAGGTACGCAAATTCAATTCTAAAATTTTAGCATCCTATTGCTTATAGTGAAGTCAGGATCAGGCGTACTCCTTTGCTCCTCGTACTTTTTCTTTAAAAAATTATCTTCATATTGGCGTGCTTTAATTTCCTTAATCAAAGTGGGTTCCACGGTTATATTCTTTAAAAATTTATCGTCATATTGGCGTGCTTTATTTCCTCAATCAAAGTGGGTTCCATGGTTATATTGGCTAGCAGTCCATTGATCTGGCAGAAAACGAGAGTGCACGCCAAATTTCTGGTCGTTTTCAGCTCAGTGCGTTTGTCACCACGTTAGCTTTGCTTTGATGGTGATAGATCTCTACATCGTTGTCTTTCATAAATTCTAACCACTACCATTGCTCATATCCAGTTCCTTCTGTGTATACAGATATTTAAGACTTTTGTGATCAGTGTAAATCTCATAAGTTGCACCGTAGAGATAATGGCGCCAAATCTTGAGAGTGAAAATCACCGCAGTTAACTTTAGATTAGGGGTTGGATAGTTCTTCTCGTGAGTCTTTAGTTATCGCAAGGCATAAGCAATGACTTTTCCATTTTGCATAAAAACGCAACCCAAACCATTATATGAGGCATCACTATAAATGACGAACCCATCTGTTCCCACGAGGAGTGCTAGTATAGGAGTTGACACAAGTCTGCTTCCTAACTCCAGGAAGCAACGCTCCTGTTTGTTAGTGTGATACCCCTGTTCCATAGTATGCTAATTGGTCCTTAAATTGAGTAGGATTATGTGTTTATCATGATTTTATGTGCCATTATGTGAATATATGTGATTTTGAAGTTTTATCTGTTCATCGTAGGAATATCTGTTTGACTAATCAACTTTGGAAATTTAATCGAGGGCCTTATCGGCCACAGAACCCGAAATTGATTACGCCATTGTGATTGGCATAATTTTTAGAGCCTACGGTGAAATTTAATTGAAAAATTGATTCGGACCAGATTAAGTTGATTAAATTGGTAAATTGGTGCCCAATTATTTACTAATATTATATTGACTTAGTGGGACTTGCCATATTTGAGCACTACACCTTATTTCTCTCCCTTAGCTTATTTTGGCTGATTCTTGAACTCAATTTGAGAGGGAGAGCCGACTATAGGGAGGGAGAAAGAGGGATTGTGCAACTTTGGTCTTGAAACTTGGAGATTGGAAGCCTAAGTCAAGATTTGAGCATAGATTGTGAGAATCAAGCCCCTAGGTGAGTGATTCTTGGATTATAATTGTAATTTTGTGCATGTCCAAGCTA